CCTCAGGTGTAAAATGGAACTAATAATAATACTGCCACAAAAGTTTGTTTTAGGAATAAATGATATAAAGTATCAATCTTCTTAGAAAAACAATTGGCACATGATATAAATTCAATTATTATTATTATCATCTCACGGTTTTCCACAAACTATCTCACATATAATTTGAATACAATATGAAGTTAAATCATGAAATAGCTCTACTATCAAATTTGTGGTAAAACAGGAATAAAAACTGAGTAACATGGAGTTTGGAAGGGAATTTCATTCAAATGACTTTCAAATTTATGTAATCGCATTGTGTAACTCCAGGTTTCAAGGATTTGAGACTAATTTTAAAATAACACAGACAAGTCAAATATATATAATTTTCAATTAAGAGATTCAAGTAGAAAGTACACAGTGTTTTCAAGAGTAATCACTGAGATTTACCCAATTGAAAAGTAAATCTTACATAATGCCCTATGGTGCCACAGAGCAAAAGGCTTGTAAAATTAATGGAGATTTTTCATGGATCCAAATTTTCCATGAAGAAAAAAAAAAAAACATTTTACTCAGTAAAGGAATTTTTAATATCCCCAGTCCTCCTTAACCCTGCTACTGAAAAGAAGCTATTACTGAGAGAGTCATTCACCAATGTGACAAAATACTACTGAGTTTAGAAGCCAACCTTGTTTGTATAAGCCATTCTGCTTAATTTTTATTTAATTCATTAAAATAACAATAAACAGTGTTGAGCCAAGATTCCTGTATACCAGGTTGTCATAGAAATGGTAGATAATCAACAGGACAAATTGATTCACTCCCTCAAGGAGCTACAACCAATGGAAAAATAACAGTTAAAAAAGTAAACCAATAAATAAACTGATTGGTGTAATCAGTATAAAATAAACAAAAGACTGATGTGATAGGAAGTTATTTGGTGGGAACCATGGGAAGTAGCCGTATAGACACGACAAGACTATTATTTACAGAAGACCTTATTTATTTAAAAAGATTTATTTAAAAAGATTTATTTATTTAAAAAGATTTATTTATTTATTTAAAAAGATTTATTTATTTAAAAAGATTTATTTAAAAAGATTTTTTTATTTAAAAAGATTTATTTATTTATGCATACGAGAGCTGGGGTGTAGGCCAGACATACAGGGGGGTGAGAGGATTCACCAGAGACAGAATGGGGAGCAGAATAGGCAGACTGACTGAAATACACTGCTGAGGGGTGCAGCAGGCAAGACAGGAGAGATCTGCTGAGCCATGTGGGTAGCTCCCTGGCCAGGGATCAAACTTGTGCTGCAGTGGCTGCGGATTGCTTCAGAGTATTGAGACCTAACCCCTTGAGCCACCAGGGAGGTCCCAAGACCTTAGTCTTGAGAAAAGTTCTTGGGACCATGGTGATAGCTCACGGGTGAATGGGTGGTGGGAATTTCACAGGGACCATAACCAAGAGGAAAATGCATACATTGTGCAAAAATGAAAAATGATGCAAAAATATACAAAACAATAATAATAAAAAAAAGTAGAGTACTTAAGAGCCAATCTGCCTTCCCAGTCAGAGCCCCATGCCTTCACCTGGTTGCTCAGCTCCACCCTTAGTTAAGTGGGGTGGGGAAAATGGTGCCTTCGTAACACCTATCTGAATGGAAGAACTGTATTTTATTCTCTGCTTTAGAAAAGTCAAAGTTTAAAAAGTTTGGAGTTTTTTTCCCCCAGAAAGTCACATCTCAGGACTGTCTTGACAAGGGTGAAAACCAGGGGTTGGGCGTTGTCAGTTTCGGCAGTCACACTTCACAAGTTCTGCCGGCAGACAAAACCAAAATACACTCCAAGTATTTGTTCTATGATGTGCTTTGAATGAATGTCCCATGTACTCAGGAAACAACTCTAAAATTAATCCCACCTGTGGTAATATGTCTTTGAATCAGACACACCAACGACCCTCATAAAATCTTACATGATGTTTAGGTCTTAGATGTGGCCATTTTATATAATTAGGAACTTGCTACTTGGGGGAGTGCTGACTTTATATGTAATTTTATTTATATCTTGCTTTGTACACAAAGGACTTTTAAAAAAGATATGCAATGAAAGACATATGTAGAGCAAGGCAAGATTAAATTCTAAAAAAAGAGAAGAAAAATGAGTCAAAGGAAAAAAAAAAGATGGGAAAATAAAATGGAGTGAACATGAGCTTAACAGAAAAGTAAATACCGTTAACTTTTTTGGACAGTTCACAGACTGACTCCAAGCTTTCCAGGAGAAAGGTATTTATTTGGTTACTTTTTCAGGGTCTTAAGATAAAAAATAACTTCCCAAAGAAAGTAATAATTCTTCTTTGATCATTCTGAGATCAGAGTTAAATTGAACCTCTGAATCCTCATAAAAGACCTTTTTAATGCACTCAAAGACATCTTCAATAACATTCTTATGGTAAATATAAGATTCACAGCATTGCTTTATAAGGAAAAGGAAGGCTGAGTCTTTCATTTCTACAATGTAATAACATTACTTATTTTGAACTGATTTTAGCATTCAGAATAAATACTTAAATATTTCAGGGCCTCCCCGGTGGCGCAGCAGGTTAAGCGCAGTGCTGTGAAGCTGTCTGCAGCCTCTGTAGCGTGGGTTCGATTCCCAGCCGGCCAGGGAACTACCCACATGGCGTGGCAGACCTCTCCTGTCTCACCCACAGCTCCCCTCAGCAGTGCTTTCGGTCCATCTGCCTGTTCTATTCCCCACTCTATCCCTGGTGAATCCTCTCACCCTCCTGCACCTCTGGCCTGTACCCCAGTTCTTGTTAAAAATAAATAAATATTTAAAAAAATACTTAAATACTTCAAATAGGGGCTGTAGGAGTTGAACATAATGTTCATGAAGGAGTCTTAAGATAACTGTTCTTTACTCAGATGGATAATTAATCAAATAAAAGCAGAATGATGTAATCACATACCTATTGAGTGTGACAAGTTCTAAAAAAGGATAGTCTGGGTATGAAGGGTGTGCAAGAGAGAAAATGCAGTTCCCTAATGGTGGATGAGAAAGCCATGGCTCTGGAAAAGACAGCACAGAAAAATTTTCTAAAGGTATTTGGTTCCAACTACAGATCCCTTATAAAAAGAGCTTTGGAATCAGGAAATAAACCATCAAGAACACAAATTTTCACATATGTTTTCTGGGTCAAGAACTCTTTGAAGATTGAAATTAAAAAATATGGGGGCCTTCCTGGTGGCGCAAGCGGTTGAGTGCAGCGCTGTGAAGCTGTCTGCGGACTCCGTAGTACCGGTTTGATCCCTGCCGGCCTCAGAGCAACCCACTTAGCGAGTAGACCTCTCCTGTCTGCCCGCTGCTCCCCTCAGCAGTGTATTTCGTCAGTCTGCCTGTTCTGTTTCCCTTTCTGTCTCCGGTGAATCCTCTCACCCTCCCGCGCATCTGGACTGTACCCCTGCTCTTGTATGGATAAAATAAATCTTTAAAAAAAAAGGTACCCCTGAGGGGAGAAATCAAATACTGTAAAAAAATGAACAATGATGTAAGGAATTCAATCAAGTAATTTTAAAAAGAATATGTACTCCCACTTGGAAGAGCACTCACATTCTAACATTGCAAACCTCATCCCTACCTAGTTTTAGAAAAAATGATATAAGTTAAATAAATATCAAATGCAAAAAATTACAACTTTGTCAATTTGTCAACCTGTGAAATAATAGAGTTTGTAAGTTGTAGGTGCACATATAGGAGGTGCACATATATGAAAAGTATGTTGCCTAGAGAGTACAATAACATACAACTATTAGTTTTCAAGTTGAATCAGTAACAGATATGCAGCAGTAGTAACACATACACAGTGGTAGCAACAGATTTAGGGAAGAATATTGGTAAGGACTAGGGGGAAAAAAAAACAAAAAACTCCAAAGAGTATATCAATGGCAATAGTAGGAAAGGATTGGACCCTTCTTGGCAGTGACCATTACAATGACTTAGCACAGGAATAAACCTACCTTAACTATGTTTTTTTTTAAATTATTTATGCATACAAGAACTGGGGTACAGGCCAGATGTGCAGGGGGAGGTGAGAAGATTCTCCAGAGACAGAGTAGGAGCAGAACAGGGAGATCTACTGAAATACACAGCTGAGGGGAGCAGCAGGCAAGACAGGAGTTGTGCTGACTATCTTAAACCCTTTTGCCTTTGTACAACAATACCACAAATTCAAGTACTTGCAGGCACAGAGAAGAAAAGGCAGGTAATACTTAGGGTGCAGAATTAGCTAACTGGGGTATAATATTCCCTGAGATACATAACCACAGAGGAAGGTGAGAAGAATGGATCTTTTATTAGCATCACTACACTTGAACTTAGCCAAAAAGCCGACAAGTGATTTGTATTAACATCATTAAATGGAGTAATGCACACGCAGAAGTCTTTAAGCTAAAATCAATTTTTTGAGTCCTCTATTATCCTAGCCCAACAGGTTTGTTTAAAAATTAATTTTCAGTATGTAAAATTCATGTCATATAAATATCTACATTTGAGCTTCTTAAAAAATATCAGAAGATCTGGCAATACTCAATTTCAATTTTTCCACTTAGCAATCATTCCTTCATTGTTAGCAACAAACTATGTTATTTTTCCAACAATGAAGCCAAGTTCACTTCAAGCTTGAACAGTATTTCTTTCTAATAGCCAGACTGCCTACTTTGTTCATTTATATTACCTGCATCACCCTTATAGTTATTTGAATTTGTAAGTAACTCCTCTCCACCCTCTGAACTAATATATTTTATTTTATTCATCTGAAATGGCAGCCATGAAGGTGTGTCTTATGTATCTCCAACCATAGGGAGCTTAATTGACCAAAGACATCAGCTTCTGCTCTCTCAACTCCCCACATTTTTACCAATGAAAACCAAATGATGTCAAAATTTCTGAGTTACCCAGACAGAATAAAAAGGGAGAATGAAGAGGCTGAGAAAGCTGTAATATAAGCCCAAAATACTCACCAAGGATTATGATCCATGGAAGGTCTCAGAAAAAACACCATCTACCAAGTCCTCCAGGAACATGATGAGACATGTCTTATGACTAAGACATTCCATGTGGATGGATCTCTTCCATAGTCTAGATAAGATGGTAGAAAGAAGTAGGTTAATGAGCTGCTATCATTAACATTCATGGAATGATGGAGGCCTCAAAATATAGAGTGGCAGGGATAAATTAATAGAAACAAGGAGATGCAATCACTAAAACTACCAGTAGATTCAGGGGAACAGGCAAGGGAACTTGATCTTCAGGAAATTATGAAGTAGATTAGTAGACTTTGATGTCCCTAGAACTCAATGAGGGGGGGTGGGAATTGTATGGGGAATATAAAAAAATGAAAAATGATGTAAGAATTATATATAAAATAAAATAATTTATTTTAAAAAATAGACAGGAGCTAACAAAAGTGTAAAAAAAAAAAATGCAGACAGAACAAGAATAGAAAAATAGGACTTCTGAAATTGTCTATAGAATAGCCAGTGCTAATCGGGAGCCACTGTTTTGTTAAATCTGAGAGTCCATATTCATTTTTTTTTTTTTTAATAATAAATTTTATTTTTATATTCCCCATACAATTGCAGCCCCCCCATTCTGACCCCAATCCCTCCCCTCCCACCCCCGCCCCCCTAAAAGTGTCTCTGGTTCGTAGTTTTTTGTTGATTTTGATTTTCACTTTCTTATAGTTATTCGTTTTCCTGGTCCCTTATTTAAGTTTTCTAGATTCCTGCTATGAGTGAGACCATCCGGTATTTTTCTTTTTCTTTTTGGCTTATTTCGCTGAGCATGATCTCCATATTCATTCTTAATATCTATCCCAATTTTTCAGATCCAAGAATGCAAATAAGATAGAGTATAACATGGACTACCACTTTTGCAGCCTTAGTCTTTAATGGTAGTCTTAATCTTGTCATAACCACTGGTTCATGGTTTTGGGCTTCGTTTACTTTTTTGTTTGGCAGTAGATGATAGGAGGGTGGACAATTTCAAAACTTCTGCTTTCCACTCTTGTTTTGTTGGCTTATTTTTTTCTTCTTTCACTTGAAGAAAAGCCAAGTAAGACAGTGGCCTACATCATAGTAGAACTGATGTCCAACCACACCCTGAAGATTGAAGAAGTCTTCAATCTTATCATATTCTAACTTTGCACTTAGTAAGAACATCAAAAATGTTATTTCCTGGAAAATTGATGTATGTATTTTCTCAACTCTTTGTGTCTTTGTTCAAATATCACCCTTTTAAGAGGACCTCCATGGCCACCCTATTTAAAATGTCACCATTGCTTTTTAAGTATCTATACTGGATCTTACTTCATTTTTTTTCCCATGACACACTTATCATTAGCTGAAATAAACAACATGATTAACTTTTTATTCTTGCATCATTACCCAGCAACTCAAATGCGCACTTCAAAAAGACTGGGATTTTTATCTGTTTACATACTGCTGGATCCTCCTCCACCTGTATAGTGCCTGCTACACTGTAGAAGATCTCACTGAAACAACGTGATGGTTATTACAATGATTATAGTTTGAAGTAACATAGCGACAGCTGCACTGCAAAGATATTACAGTGTAAACAGACAAAGACAAAGCAGCAGAGGCAGTATCATCATTCCAACTACTGGCATTTATTGGATGCTTATTATGTGCTATATACTACTTTGCATAATAGACACTTTGTAATCTATTTTACATGCATTACTTGATTTAATCTTCCCAAGTCTGTCATGGTTCCTAGTATTACATTTTCTCTACAACTTAGAAGGTTAAGTATCTTAATCAAGATAGAGATAATTGGGAGAGGAGTTATTAAAACTGAATCTGACACTAAAGCTTTAATTCATAACCTGAACTCTCATAAACATGGAAACCAAGAGAACAGTTTTAGAACTTTGTGGTACACCAAAGAAATGGAAAAGGGCAGGGAAATATAAATTAATTCAGCAATAAGAAATCCAATTTTTTAAAATAAAAACTATGATTGAATCAAAATGTGGATAGTGTTTTTAAAGAGACCAGAAAAAAATACATCTAAAATGAAATAAAAGACAACTTTATGCTACACCCTAGATACACATCATTGCTTTTATTCAGAAAAGTAGACAATGAACTATGTGCTTCTATCAGTCATAGAATCAATTTTAATAGAAACTTAATTAAGAGAGATTGCAATAATAAAGCAGAATCACCCCGAAATCAGTCAATAGCAATTTTCTAATTCCAGCAATAAGTATATTCCAGAACACCAGGCTAAATTTTCAAATCACTAGTTTTAGCCCACATTGTTTAAACACACAGAAACAGGGCCTCTCCGGTGGCGCAGCGGGTTGAGCGGCGCGCTATGAGGCTGTCTGCAGCCTCTGCAGTGCGGGTTCAATCCCTGCAGGCCAGAGAGAATCCCACAGGCGAAGCAAACCTCTCCTGCCTCACCCACTGCTCCCCTCAGCAATGTGTTTCAGTCCGTCTACCTGTTCTGCTCCCTGCTCTGTCTCTGGTGAATCCTCTCACCCTCACCCACCTCTGGCCTATACCCCAGCTTTTGTAAAAAAATAAATAAATCTTTAAATAAATAAATAAATACACAGAAACACGCACACACATACATATACCAAATGGAAGTATACTGTGTTTTCTGTTTTATCTTGGAGGTCTAATTGAAACCCAGGTGCAAGAAAACAGAAAAATCTTGTATCTTAGAAGCAGAGAGCAGCTAAACAATCTCAGTTATTCTAAAAACATTCAAATTTCAAGGACAGTTATATTGCTTGAATGGAAAGCAGTTAAAAACTCAACAGAAACATAGAAAGTAATAAAAGAATCAGAGATTGAAGGCACTGTGTCAATGCTGAAAGACAATGGTAGATACAGGAATTTGCATCAAATAGCAAAGGAAAGACAAAGGGCATTTGAACTGGAAAATATAATCCTTTTGGCTATTTCAAAGAACAGTGCAGTGGGGTGCAGGGTGTTCTTGAGTTACATGGGGATGGGAGGTAGAAGCAATACATGCTGCAGATTCAAGAAAATGACAAAGCCTAAAAAAGTATAATCTGTTCAGGCTGTTTGTGATAAGCAGCAGTGAATTGGCATAGGGTTCCATTAACACATTTATTGCTTGATATTTTCCTCTCTTTACCCATTTATCTAAACAGCACAATTCCCTCAAGCATTTGAGTTTGTAAGATCTAGTTTAAGAGTAACAAAAGTACTGAAGAGATCGGAAGTCTTTCCTTTCCTGTCTTGAGTAAAGCTAATTTTTAAAAGCATATTTGTGATATTCTCTTTTACCATTCATAAATACAGTTTTCCATAGATTGGATTACAATCTTGAGCAATATTAATTTATGAATGTCCTTATAATTAAGGATTTCAATGGAAATTGCCAGTCACAGTGTTATCTATATCTTGCAGATTATAAATATTTCATTATATACCATATATTTTATTCTTGGGTTCATTATTGATGTCCCCCCATACACAAACTATTTAACATTTAACATGTAAGTCAGATTTTTCTGACAAATAATTACTAAAAGCGCACAGATCATGATCAATAAGCTAATTTTAGGTCAGACAGTGAAATCCAAATATGAGAAATCAGTTCACAATTTGAAGAAAACAACAGAAAGCCTAATGCAAGCTGATTTTGTAACAACTTTGTACTTCACAATGAGCACCAGTTGGCCACTTTGGCAGTCATCATTAAAAGCACAAGATTCATTCATCACACATGGATTTTTAGAGATATCAATGTTGATTGACAATTTTCAGTGTATTTTGAAACCAAAATCTTCCCCAACTAGTTTATTCTATCAATTCAAGACATGCAGTGAAATGAAGCAAATGCTATAATTCTGTTTGTGATCTCTAAACTCACAGTGCAATTACCCAGTTATTTTCTGCTCTGAGACCATCTGTAATTACTGCAAAGGCCCAAAAAAGATTTTTTTGTTTGTTTGCTTTGCCTTCTATTGGAAGAGAAAATGAACCTAAATTTTCACTAATATTATTATCTTTAACACATATTAACATTGATAGAATTGATAAGAGAATAATAAGATGTTTTTTGAAAAAAGTTGTGGCTTTTCACAAAACACAAAATGAAAACATTTTTTCAACCTAAATTAAATTGTTATTTACATATTATATATATATATATGTGATATGTCTAAATTTTCAAATTCCTTAATCTGAGGGAAATAATGAAATAATATAATTTGAAAGAAAAGATTTAAGTGGTAGGGAGCAAAGATACTACAATATAATATACCTTGGTCCATGGTCTAACTTAATGATTTTAAAAGAGGTCTAATGAGACTGACTACTTACAGTTCAAAAAAAAGGTAATTATTCAGTAGATCATTAATATGTAACTGGTCCTTAATAATTTGTTCATAAACCTTGATTAAATAGTGGTTCTTTTCTCTATTCACTTCAATTTGTACAGATATGACCTAAAATTACAGAAATCTACTAAGTGTAGACTGTAAAGGTCTTGTGATTTTATAACTGAAGAAGCTAAAATATAGTCCTGAATATTTATACTTAATATTTACTGAAGATTTTCTATAGCCAGTGCATTACATATTGTATTTTATTTAGGCCTCATCTCAATCTCTGCTCCAGTATCACATGTATCCCCATTTTTACATAGGGAAAATAGAAGTTTGCAGAACTTAAAAAACCTACTAAGGGCCACCAACTTAAAAGTGAGAAGGAGAATGACAAATATGGGATGACTTCACTGAGATGTGGAATACAAAGAAACAGAAAAGAACAGACAAGACTAAAACAAAACAAACCCTAGACACCTAATATTGAATTGAGGCTACAAAAGGGGAGTATAGCAGGGTGAGTAAAACACAGAGGGGGCCCAAAGGTCAATGTTGGAGTATTATGGGTGCTTTGGTGTTGGATGTGGTGTGGTAACTGGCATGGTAACATATATCTGAAGAGGTGTATATCCTTAAATTACAATTAGTGTTGTAAACAAAATATTGCCTCAATTAAAAAATATGATTTTAAAAATTAAAATAATGAAAAAAACCTTAGTGCTGTTAACACTTGAATAATGTACTG